GAGGGCCACCAATCTGGACACCTCTCTCAGCATCCCAGATCCTCACAGTGTTGTCATCTGAGCCTGAGACAATCCTCTTGCCATCAGAGGAGAATCCAACTGAGTTGACCCCATCAGTATGCCCCTCAAGAGTGCCACCAATCTGGACACCTCTCTCAGCGTCCCAGATCCTCACTGTGTTGTCCCAAGAGCCTGAGACAATCCTCTTGCCATCAGAGGAGAATCCAACTGAGTAGACCCAATCAGTATGCCCCTCAAGAGGGCCACCAATCTGGACACCTCTCTCAGCATCCCAGATCCTCACAGTGTAGTCATCTGAGCCTGAGACAATCCTCTTGCCATCAGAGGAGAATCCAACTGACTTGACCTGATCAGTATGCCCCTCAAGAGGGCCACCAATCTGGACACCTCTCTCAGCATCCCAGATCCTCACAGTCTTGTCCCAAGAGCCTGAGACAATCCTCTTGCCATCAGAGGAGAATCCAACTGACTTGACCCCTAAAGTATGCCCCTCAAGAGGGCCACCAATCTGGACACCTCTCTCAGCATCCCAGATCCTCACAGTGGTGTCCCAAGAGCCTGAGACAATCCTCTTGCCATCAGAGGAGAATCCAACTGACTTGACCCCTAAAGTATGCCCCTCAAGAGGGCCACCAATCTGGACACCTCTCTCAGCATCCCAGATCCTCACAGTGTTGTCATCTGAGCCTGAGACAATCCTCTTGCCATCAGAGGAGAATCCAACTGAGTTGACCCCATCAGTATGCCCCTCAAGAGGGCCACCAATCTGGACACCTCTCTCAGCATCCCAGATCCTCACAGTGTTGTCATCTGAGCCTGAGACAATCCTCTTGCCATCAGAGGAGAATCCAACTGAGTTGACCCCATCAGTATGCCCCTCAAGAGGGCCACCAATCTGGACACCTCTCTCAGCATCCCAGATCCTCACAGTGTTGTCATCTGAGCCTGAGACAATCCTCTTGCCATCAGAGGAGAATCCAACTGAGTTGACCCCATCAGTATGCCCCTCAAGAGGGCCACCAATCTGGACACCTCTCTCAGCATCCCAGATCCTCACAGTGTTGTCATCTGAGCCTGAGACAATCCTCTTGCCATCAGAAGAAAATCCAACTGACAAGACTGATCTAGTGTGTCCCTGCAATGCAACCTGAGCAGCTGGCCATTCCTTTTGCCCTCCTACAGCAACACTGACAAGGTGTGAAAATTTTGGCATGAGCATTCTAGAAAGCTTTGTGTTTGAGGGTGTAAAAGGTAATGCAGAAATATAAAGGTGTGGGGTGCTGTAGGAGATGACACTCCCAAAGTTCTGCACAAATTTGATCCCATCTTGTGCTAGCATCAGGGCACCCTCAACATCCTCCTTGCCCTTGTATATTATATTAGATAACATCATGCACAACACTGTTTCACCCACCTGTAGCCATGATATAGTAGAGGCAAGAGCACTTGTAGCATGTCCAAGTCCATCAAGCAGACACAATACCTCAAGCCAAAATAGCAGCCTTTCACATCCAACAAAAGTCTTTACCAGCATTGCAAGTCCTGAATCGTAGTCAGCTCTCTGCAGATGGTGTGCCCAGTATTGACACGAGTAGGATAGATGAGGTGTGATGTTTTTGCTAACTCTCTCCTCCAAATCAGCAACTTCCGAGTTACAGGAGTAGGAACTTTCCAATCCACAGATGTTGAATTTCAGGTCGTTGCAGAAGGTGTGCAACGATGCAAAGGCGAGGCTACAATGAACACCAATGCTAGATGCACCAACAAAGTATTCCCCACTTCGCGAACGATCATTGAGGAAGTCATAGAAAGATGCATGCAGAGGTCGGACAACAGTGCACCTGTCTGATATCCCACTCAATAGCGGTGCCATAAATTCGAGAATGATGATCATGTTGAAATGGTCTTCCTCCGACGGGAAGTGACTGCGCATCTCATTTAAGGTATCCAATCGCAGAGGTGCAAACGTTGACATGACCTGATGCATCACGGAGCAGAACCGTGCCAGCGTGGTCTCGTCCGGGGGTACCATATCCTCCAGGATTGTTTTGTACATGACATCCAACAGGGTCCCACCTCCAACACGAGGGAAGATGATCTCATTGTAACGCTCTATGACCGTTCGACCCGGCCTATTCGGCTTAATGAATCTGCAGGCTAGACGAGCCCACTCGAATAGACCATCCGACTTCTGAGCAATGGCCTGGACCTCCGGGGCTCCGATCTCGGGAAGACCTCGAAGCTCGGTGGAAACATATAATCGGATGTCGCGCTCTGCGGATACCCCAGAAATGGCGTCCAACGAGGCAGCTTTAACATGCGCAGCGGTACTCAGGACATGTTCGATGTCTGGCAGCGGCCTGGACGTCAGAAGGATGCGGAAATTGGAAGGCAGATGAGCAGCTTCCGGCGACGCGAGAAGAGATAGGATGTGCTCTCTCGATGTGTCTGGCCCGCTTTCATCCAAGGCATCAATCACCACGACCACATTCCCGACGATTGCCCCAGTGATCCTATACAGCGGCTCTAAAACGAGTTTCTGCCACTGCTGCATCACGTCAGGTGTGGTCTTGAGGGAGTGGTCCTTCGATACGACGTCTGCCAATGCTCGCCTGAAGGATTGATCACGATCAGCCAGATCTCGAGCAATTGTCGTCAGAATCTTTTCCTCGCGGTGTTCAGCCTGCCTGTCACGAGCAAAGCAAAAGCAAGAACCGAGTCCTCCCACGTCTTTAATCCAAGACGCAATTGTATGGGCGATGGCCGATTTTCCCCTTCCCGCCTGCCCATGAAGCCAATAAACACGAGGAGCATCGACGTCGGGATCGTTAATCCAGTTGATTATCTCCTGTAAAGTCTCCTCCCTTGTACCATCAAGGCACTTTTTCGTCGTGTTCAGCCCCGCGCCCCCTGCATAAGCCATACCATCGAGATTCAAATCTTCAAGGATGCGGTATGTGTTAACTTGAATGTCCCGGATAGTGCGGTCGCGGTACTGTTGCATCAGGCCATCTAGGGTTTTGACGTAGCCATCCACGACAGTCTGCGTCTCGGAGAAAATGTTCTTCGCAGTTCTTTTCCCTGAGGGCATATTATGTCAGGACATGGTGATCAAGACAAGGATAGGACCTACAGAAGCTTTTCGTTGCAGAATAGCTGTTGATAAACTGCGCAGAGTCGCTTATCGCTCGTGCAATCTTCGCAAGGGTATCTTTCATTTCGTCGATATTGTTTATGCTATCTTTTTCCGTAAGAAATTCGTAGACGCTTCGCACCGCGTCGAGGAGGCCAGACACCGCCCTGTCTAGATTCGCTTGATTCATGAGCAACTACAGATCACTAAGTGAGATACATGATGTCTGTGGTAAGCAGAAACGAACCTGAGCGGCAGACGTTAAGATTCCTAGCGCAATTTGGGCGTAGGGGTGGACCTGGCGCGCGCATGCGATCATTGTATGGATGCACAAGTGAAATACTTACGTTGGCAAGAGTGGAAACGACTTGATTGAATGCTTTGAAAGGTTTGAGATACGTATCACTCAAATTTTGAATCTCGGAGAATGTAGTATCAGCGATACCGACGGCGACGACAGCACCTTGGGCAATACGCGAAATGGGAGAAATGTTGCCAAAGTTTTCTACTGCAGCATCGACATCCTTGCCAGCCGACGTTGGCGCGTGTTCAGGTTCAGGTTTGGCGATTGACTTTTCAACCTGCCAACAGAATCACTTAGTCGTCGTAGCAGCTGTACATCGCAGATCACATACATCATTATTCGGAACTGCCTGGGATGTCTCTTGTTGCTCTTGAACCCTACCGCTGGTACTTGTAGCGGCAACCTGTTCAGCAAATCGCTCAGTACCATCGCATTAATCGAATGCGGTAGATCACATACATCCGGATCTGCAGGTGCCTGTGATTGCTCCTGTTGCTCCTGAGCTCCCCCACCGGTATCAGCAACTTGCGCCGCGATGGCGGTTGAAGGACCTTGGTTCGATCGATGGAAGAAACGCTTCATTCTGGCGAGCATACCCGGAGAAGCCACGCCCAACGTTTCAGGTGCGGAGGCGAAATCTCCTGCCCGAGCCTCAGACCGTCCTGGCGACTAATTTTTTGCAAATCGATAAATACATCTCGAGGAAGGGGCGGCCACGCACCGAAGAAAGGCCGGAGGTCGAGTTGGACGGTTTCACAAATCCCAAGAGATGACGTTTCTGTGACTGTGTTCTAGCCATCGAGAAATGGATATCACTGTAATTTCGCGAGTTTGAGCTTTGGTTTGAGGTTGAGGATGTAGTTGAGGTGGTGGTAAAGGTCAGTTCGAAATTAGGCGCCATCAACATGTTGCAGTTGGTGCACAGACCGACTGCCAGATTTAGAGCGCATTGCCCCTGTGTTTCTGCTGGTCTGGTCTATGCTCCGTCGCTCCGAATGACATTGATCCCATGCCAACCAGACCAGGTGGCCTCGTCGATGACTTCTTCAGCACTCCTCTCTGCCATCCCTGGCGCCAAACTCGACCCATTCACCAGGTCCATCACCAGTACCACCCCACCGTCTTCACTCCCAACATGCAACCCCTCACATTCGTGAAACATGATCCCGACGATTGATAACAGCGATGGACACGGGAAGATCCCTTTGACGGACGTTGCGCCGCAGCTCGTCATGGTTTCAGAAGCAGGTAGTATGACTTGGTCGCAAACGCAGAAGGGGCAGATAACTATGGAGAATTGCATTTCATCATTGGGCTGAATGCTTCGAACGGGTACGTATGATGTTTGGCGCCTTTTGGTGTGACGTTTACTCGGTCTTGAGGCCTACAACGAAGATGACAACCGCATCACTTCTTGAATGTTCCCCTCCTTGTACACGTCATGCTGACTCTCAGACAGACGTCATTGTACAGAAACAACACGTTGCAGGATATTACCCGTTTCAAGAACTATGGCACATGCCGTGCCAAGCTCCATGGAAGTGCTAGTTTAATGTCTTAACACTGGGTCCTACATGTATGTACAAGCTAGCGGAATCATGTCGAAAATTTGAAATCATCGTTCACTTATCGGGCTGCTCGACATTGAGAAGACACGAGAAGGAGAGGTTTGGAGAGAGATGATCTTACTACAGAGCATTTCTAGGGCTCGGAGCTTCAGTGCCAATGCGGTTGTGTATGCAGGCTTCGAAATTGGGAGACTCAGTGTCATCAATGATACTCGGTGTACTCACCAGTAAGTCTCCACTTCTCGCCCTAGCAGTTTCTGAGCGTGGTGTTCACTCTATGGGAACTCACCTTCACATCCAGGTCATGCGAGAGGTATGAGAGGCACACTGTTGGCGTGCTAGTCGATCCCGGTTTCGAATATCATCCTGGCAATACGAAGACTACATCTTTGAATCATCCTGAAATTTCCAGAAAGCAGGTTAAAGCAAGTGAGCATCAGTCACCTTCACGCGTGGAAATCCACCACAGTCGTCCCAATCCCAAAGCTCTCCGCCTTGGACACCACATACCTCGCAATAGCAACATCCTGTAACCCAATGCCTACTGACTTGAACACCGTCAGGTCACCCTTCCTCATTTGAATATCTCCCAGCCCGTCTTTAAAATCCCATTCCTCCACTAACCGTCCAATCTCGATCATATCTCCAGCACCTAGACCTGCAGCGATGAGTTCTCCGGCCTCGATCGCACATGCTTCGATTGAATCGACGACGATCGTCTCTGCCCGGCTTATGAGATCACAGTCCACTTCAACCATGCTCGGCTTGAAGCTCCCTACGAGATTTAGGTGTGTTCCAGGTGATACCCACTCGGAGGGGAAAAGTGGTCGAGTGGATGATGTTGCCGTGCAGATCACATTCGCATGACCTACAGCACTTCGGACGTTGGTCGTATCGTCCAATGCAAGTCCTTCGAGTGCAACGAGAGGGTGAGATTGACGCAATACAGACAACAAGTTTTCCAAACGTGCATTCGTCGAACGATTGACGATGGTACATCGCTTGAGGGACGGAAATGCGCGGATATGAAGATCCACATGGGCCTCAGTCTGTTTCCCAGCGCCGAAGGCCACCAACGAGCTAGGCGGTTCGGAGAGGAGCAAGCGTGTTGCGAGGACAGAGCCTATTAGGTGCCTGAGCGTTGCTAGAACTTTAGAAGATGCATATATGAGATGAGTCCACACCAGCGGCAGTCCTCAAGGCTGTCAGCGCACTCGCGTTGACGATCGCCTTCACACGCCCGGTTTCCTCGTCCAGGAGAATGGTCGAAGCGGGCAAACCACGCTTATCGTCGGCAGATGTAGGTACAGAAACGACTTTAATCGCAGTGCCGATGTCCTCAACCCGTGAGGGCACAAACAGAGCCGTGTGATGGGTCATGGTAATGCTTGTCCTTTGCGGTGACGTATAGTGCGATCCTGATGAGAGGCGACGAAATACAGAAGCCATGAGGGCCTCAAGCTCTGCAGATGGCAAGGCAGCAGTGATCGTGCTCACATCCTGAGCAGAGAGTACAAGAAGCGACATCGCACGGTGAGATCACGGTCGCCGGCTATTCCTGGGCGCCTTCTGTGAATTATCCGTTGCAACCGCCAGCGTGATGCAGACGGGGGTGGGAGGAGACAATCGCGATTGACAGAAATTCGCAGGCACGGTAATTTGTCATCACCTTTCCCGGGCAGTTGATGATCAACGCAAGGTACTGGTTCTTGTACAACGGCGCACTCTTGTTCGTAGTATTTTTCGATGTGACAGGCTCCATTCCAGTCCATGGGCCCGTGGTTGTTTGATGAGCGACTGTCGTATTCCGGACTACCCCCCTGCGTTGATGTCAGTTGTCGTAAGGCCATGGAAGACCCAAGGAAGACCCCACACCCAAGTTTGACTCCGTCGTGTCCGTACTATGGGAGCCCCATGTGGCGTCACTATTATAACTTGATTACTTTCACCATATCTTGGCGCATTCCACGTCTCCCAGTGATCAAGCCATGTCTGCAAAGGAGACCATGGAAACCCTCAGCGCTCCAATCAGGACACTTCTTGATCCCGTCCTCACCCAATCCCGCAGCAGATATTTTGCTATGGGCGCAACAGGCCTCTTCGCAGCCATAGGGGCCCTAGGTCTGTTCGTGAACTATACCTCACATCATTGCTGGTGGCATGATCCTTCCATCATCTATCCCCTCAAGTTCGACCACGGCGGCACGGACGCACTCACAGACATATGTCCCCAAGTCCGCCAGTTGATTCCCCACAGCAATCTCGATATCTGGGAGACCCTCGGGGCCACGTATGATACCGACGCCTTCAAGGCGAAAGCGGTAAGTTGGCTCGCAGGAGCTGTGCAGGTCCCGTGAATGCCATTATTTCACGCCCACTTATCCTTCTCCATGTCCCCTCGTCGTCATCATCCCAACGCTGGTGCTAACGATCTCACACACAGAACAGAGTCGTATGACTACCTTGGTCCCGTGGGAACAGATCCCCGCTGGGAGAAATTCCACGCGTTCCATGCGTATCTCCAGAAAGCCTTTCCGCTGGTGTACGTCTTCCTCTTCTGTGTACAACTCCAGGAGTCTTACCTTAACTCCTTCTTGTGTGATTGCCTGCCTACCCCTAACCCGAATCAGACATGCAGAGCTCGAACTGACCAAAGTCAACACTTATGGTCTCATTTTCGTGTGGAAGGGATCAAAGGAGAGGTTAAAACCCCTGCTATTAGCGGCACATCAAGGTCCTTCCTTTTCCTTGATTCATTCATTCTCTTTGTGCTTGCTGGGCCGCGAATAGTTGCATAGAACACTATTCTGACTCATCTCCCTGTCGTTTGGTTGGCAGACGTCGTGCCCGTGGAACCTACCACTGTCGATAAATGGACCCACCCACCCTTCTCTGGCCACTTCGACGGTGAGCGGGTGCCATTGATCGTGGGCAGTCTTACTAACAATAAGTAAAACCGATAACTTCGTAGGGACATATGTTTGGGGCCGAGGAAGCTGCGACGACAAGAGCGGTCTTATCGGCACCATGTATGGTTTATCTATTCTCCCTGGCTTCTCTTCTACCGACTGAGTTCCCGGCCTTATGCTCTGCTGTGTACGACAGGTCGGCAGTTGAGGCTATGTTGGCAGATGGTTATGAGCCAACTCGGACGGTGGTACTTGCATTTGGGTTCGACGAAGAGTCTGGCGGGGTACATGTACGTCTTCTTCTACTTCCTGCAAGGTGTCGATGTGCGAATCACTCATTTTCAGGGTGCACGAATGTTATCTGCCAAACTCGAAGAAATGTTCGGCCAAAACGGGTTTGCGATGATAGTAGACGAAGGCTGTACGTCCTTGTCGTTCTACCACGATCTCGGTTTGTCGTAATAACATCTCCCAGCGGGGTATGGTGAACAGTATGGTCGCATTATTGCGATGCCTGGTATCTCCGAAAAGGGGTCTGTCAACGTTCGTGTAGAGGTCACCACCCCGGGTGGACACTCGAGTCTGCCTCCTCCTCATACGGTGCGTCACTTCCACATTGATCACGCACCAGCATCGCTAGATCCAGCCCATTGGTTCTGATATATATCTCAGAGCATTGGCATACTTGCCGAATTGCTCGTCGAAATCGAAGCAAATCCATTCAAAGCACATCTGGTATGCAATATCCCCTCGTTTAAACTTTTTTCCTGTTCTTGAATTGCGACATCGCCAGGCACGGAACTCGCCGCCTTACAAGACCGTCCAATGCCTCGCCGTACATGTCCCAAACCTCCCTGACCGTCTGCGGAGGGATATCCTCGCATCAGCCTACTCGGACAAGGCGCTTCGTGCGGCCGAGAGTGTGTTATTCACGAACCTTGCGTTCAAAAATCTCGTCCGAACCACGCAAGCTATCGACATCATACAGGGAGGCGTCAAGGTCAATGCGTTGCCCGAGCAAGCGTGGGCAGTGGTCAATCATCGGATCTCGACAGAGAGGTGAGTGCGACGTGCATGTACCTGAATAAATGACCAATCGTCCGAAAGCTCCATTGCTGCCACCGAAGCACACGATATTGACCTTCTCAGACCCTTAGCTTCCAAGTTCAACCTCAGTTATACTGCTTTCGGGAAGACTGTCGATCATGGTGACCACCTCAACACGAGCCCTACATATGGAAACCTGACCCTATCGGAGGCGTTTAAGGGCGGGTTAGAACCCGCGCCGACCACTCCGTTCGAGGGTGACGATGCGATGCCTTACCAGATTCTTTCCGGGTCCATCAAGGCAGCTTTTCATAGGCACAGAAGTATCAAGGAGGATAGGATTGTCGTGAGCCCGGGGATCATGTCTGGGAATACAGGTACGTGATGCGCCCCGAGACATGATGCATCTTTGAATCCCTGCCATGATGCTGGCACTTGACGTTGAACTGACGCATGTATCTTTTGGATAGATACGAAGTTCTATTGGAAGCTTACCCCTCATATTTTTCGGTATGGGCATATCAGGAACATAGGAGGGGCTTTGCCACTTAATATACATACTGTGAATGAAGGTGTGTCCCTCTCCTCGTGCTTACCTTTATTCCTCGTATTTTAATTGACGGTGATGTTTCCAAAAAGCGATGTCGATCGACAACTTCCTGGAGATAATTCGTTTCTACACGACTTTGATCTTGAACATGGATGAGTCGGCGCTACCTTAGATAGTTTTTTTCGATGAGATGTATAATGACATTGGTGGCCCGAGTGTGTAGGTATGGGGTTGACGGAATGATAATATTCACCTACAGCCCATGCCCATGCATCAGCATTGTGTATAAATGCAAAATGATGAAAAGGAGTGCATGACAGAAATGCCTCCTCAAGATCAGGCATAGTTCCACCAGAAATCTTCTTTGCAGCTTTGCTCAGATCCACTGCATTATCCAGTGCAATGGAATGCTTCCCCCATACTGTACCTATCCACAACACCCATCAGTAAAGGATACCCATGTGCCAAACAAGGGCAGAACAATTCACCATTTCATGAATGCCATCTTTGTTGCAGTGGTATCTTCAACACATCATCCTTGTTCATCAGTAAACCACTTTGTGTGCTGGCAGTCCTAGGGAATCTGTCCAGTGCTGGACAGCTCTGGACAGCTCTGGCCAGCAAAAGTGATTTACTGATGTTCTCATCTACCCTGAGCTCAATGATCATATCCCAATCCAGTGATGTGTGCAATTGCAGTATTGGGAGAGCCTGCCATGCTATACCAGGCAGGACTCACTGCAATGGCAGATTTAGGCAGTGCAAGTATACTAGAATAAGGCTGTTTTGCACAGCAGGCACCTTCTTTACCACACACATGATTCAGTCACTTGTAGTCCTAAAAGTGGGTCATCTGACATGTACATTTTGTCCTGAAACTGGGGCTAACTGACATCAGCCGGTGGTCCCTAGGGTTGGGTAGGCTGGACTGTGAAGGTGGGGTCAGCCTATGTCACAGGATGATGGATCAACTTCCCTGGAAGTGGGGTTGGCTGACATGACTATAGGATAGATTGATGACCTGGAAGTGAGGTCGGCTGATGCAGCTATGGGATGAATTAGTGTCCTGGAAGTGGGGTTGGCTGACACAGCTATGGGATGAATTAGTGTCCTAGAAGTGGGGTCGGCCGACACAGCTATGAGATAGATTAGTGTCCTAGAAGTGGGGTCAGCCGATGCAGCTATGGGATAGGTTAGTGTCCTGGAAGTGGGGTTGGCTGACACAGCTATGGGATGAATTAGTGCCCTAGAAGTGGGGTCAGCCGATGCAGCTATGGGATAGGTTAGTGTCCTGGAAGTGGGGTTGGCCGACACAGCTATGGGATGAATTAGTGCCCTAGAAGTGGGGTCAGCCAATGCAGCTATGGGATAGGTTAGTGTCCTGGAAGTGGGGTCAGCTGACACAGCTATGGGATAGGTTAGTGTCCTGGAAGTGGGGTCGGCCGACACAGCTATGGGATGAATTAGTGTCCTAGAAGTGGGGTTGGCTGATGCAGCTATGGGATAGGTTAGTGTCCTGGAAGTGGGGTCAGCTGACACAGCTATGGGATAGATTAGTGTCCTAGAAGTGGGGTCAGCCGACCCAGCTATGTGATGAATTAGTGACCTAGAAGTGGGATCAGCCAACACAGCTATGGGATAGATTAGTGACCTGGAAGTGGGGTTGGCCAACACAGCTATGGGATGAATTAGTGACCTGGAAGTGGTGTCAGCTGACACAGCTATGGGATAGGTTAGTGACCTGGAAGTGGGGTTGGCCAAACCAGCTATGGGATAGATTAGTGACCTGGAAGTGGGGCCAGCTGACATGGCTGGGGGAAGGGATGATGTCCTGGCAGTGGGGTCAGCTGATGTGGCTGGGGGGAATGAACCATGACCTGGAGTTGTGGTTGGGCAGACACTTTGCAAGAAAGACCAATATCTTGCTAGTGGGTTAGTGGGGCTGGCCAATCTTATTACTCAGTACACTACTTCCTTGGTAGTTAGCTGGCTGAACCCACATGGTTGTGGAAAAATCCTATATCCTATCCTTATCCTGTGGTATTGAAGTTAACTCTACCAATCTGGCCATTGTATTGGAATTAACATTGGGCAAATTTACTCAGTTGTGTATCAGTACTTAAGGAGGAATTGTCCTGCAGGAAATTACTTTTTTTTCTGAACATTCAATGTCATATGAAATTTGAAAACACAAAGCAGCTATTTTTGATTGTAGTACATGCATATCATATGTATCAAGGTAGGGTATTTTACAAAGATTCCAACAGCCAGGATGATGTTTGCCCCTTTCCCTGTGTCAGTTTGGTAGCCCCTTTGGACATGCAGATAGTATAGGTTTGGGGAGGCTGAGATGTGCCTTGTGTGTCCTTCCCACAGCCAGGATTCTTGCACTCATAGGAATAAGTCTGCCCTGAACAACCAGCTTCCCACTTCTGAATGCTATAACACTGAGGGCACTGGGCAGGCAATTGTTGTCCCCAAGGCCTGATGAACTTGTCAGTCCAGACAAATTTCTCCACCACTACCTTCTCCTGCCACAACATCAGGATGATGTTGGAGTGCCTACCCAACATACCACAGTCATTCAGGGCATACCTGACTGCACTTTGGACATGGAAGCCTTGAACAAGGGTGGAGTCAAGGACACTCATGAGGAAGGGAATGGTGGTGACTAGTTGAAGTCTCTCAGCATCAAAAAGCAACATGGACCTTGGCTTGAAACTGATATGGTGTCAGCCATAACCACCAACATTGAAAGAAAACCTACTGTTGCACAGCTGCCTTCAGTCCTTGGAAGCTCTGCTCCTTCCTTACAGTAGAACCACATACAAAGAAGATGAGGTCTCCACCCTTGACAATGTTGGAGAGGGGTAACAGAAGGCCTTGCAGAAACTGCAACTGGTCAGATGGGAGTGACAGTCAAACAATGGTGACTTACCTCAAAGACCTCTGTGGCTATTGGAACCTTATTCTCCATTCCAGAGAACAGATCCCCCCTGTCTTCATCAGTATGGGTAGTAAGGAAAATGACTACCTTAGCAAAGGTAGTCAGACTTGAAGCTAGCTTTGATGCTGCAGTGTCATAGGCAGCTCTGGACTCCTCAGTGGCAAAGTTGAAGGGCAGTTGTGAGAAGTGGTAGGTGTCTTGTCTGAAATATCCCTGCAACATGGTGTGAAGGATATGCACAGGGGCATGGCCAAGCTCTAGAGACTCAAGGTGGAGGTGGATAATGGCAGTAGAGTTACCAGCCACTTCAGAGGTGGTGGCATGCTCAAACCCCCCAATGACCACAAGAGGGTGTTTCAGGACTGGCTTGCCTGACAAGTAGAAGCCCTGTACTTGGAGTTAGAAGTGATTGGGGTGGCAATATGCACTTACAAAATAGGGCTGAGGACTTTCAAATCTTGTCATTTTCCAATGACAGGAAACACACCTGAAGTTCATCCAGAGTTTGAGTCAATGGAATTAATTCATAAAAGGGAGGTTAACACACCTGAAGGTCACAGGAAGCTGGGTGACCTCTGCAAGGCAATCCTCAGGTACTACAACACACTTGTTACACACTACCCTTCTGCAACCTGCCTGATCACAAGGCCACAATGTCCCTCCATCCCTGCACATCACACAGAACTGCATAGAATGTTAGAAAGATGGATGGAATATAAAAAGAGACTTGCCAAGTTCCTCATCCTTCTCTTCTTGGCAACAGGGGCCTTCCTAGCATGGGCCTTGCTTGACTTGGCAGCATGTTTTTCCCTAGCTTTCAGACCAGCAAGAGATACCCTGGGAGCTCTACCCCCAGTGGTCTTCTTAGCTGTCTGCTTGGTCTTCACCATCTGAGTCTATTATGCCAACATTAGTGAGTGGCAGCAACATATGACACAGAAGGGAACAGTAGCATACCTTATTATCTTTACAAGACACAGAAGGTGTAGGGGACAAGCAGTAAGATAACAATAAATGCATTTAGTTTAGTACATATATCATGCAGCAGGGATAGATATCTACATATTTATGGAAAAGAGAAGCCAATGTATGCAACTACACAACACTGGGCACTGGATAAGCAGACCAAAGAGGGTGATATGTAAGTATCATCTGGACACCATGAAGTAGAAGTCCAACAACATACCTTATTGGATGAGACACAGCAAGGGAGATGCAGTGTGGCAGGAGGGAGATATGAATTGATAGCCTACTAGTGTGTTTTGTGAGTGGTACAGGGACACCAGGAACTGGGACAACATACCTTTTGTAGGATGAGACACAGCAAGGGGGTGTTCTGTGAGTGGTAGAGGGATGCCACGACCTGGGACGACATACCTTTTTTTTTTTTGATAAGGCATGGCGAGGGGGTGTTCTGTGAGTGGTAGAGGGATGCTGTGAAGCTGGGATGACATACCTTTTTTTTTGGATGAGCACGGTGAGGGGGTGTTCTGTGAGTTGTAGAGGGATGCTGCGAAGCTGGGACAACACACCTTTTTTTTTGGATGAGCACAGCGAGGGGGTGGTCTGTGGGTGTTTTGTGAGTTGTAGAGGGACGCTGTGTGAGCTGGGATGATGTACCTTTTTTTTGGATGAGGCACGGTGAGGGGGTGTTCTGTGAGTTGTAGAGGGATGCCACGAAGCTGGGATGACATACCTTTTTTTTTTGGATGAGCATGGCGAGGGGGTGTTCTGTGAGTGGTAGAGGGATGCTGTGAAGATGGGATGACATACCTTTTTTTTTGGATGAGCATGGTGAGGGGGTGTTCTGTGAGTGGTAGAGGGATGCCGTGACCTGGGACGACTTACCTTTTGTTTTTTGATAAGGCATGGCGAGGGGGTGTTCTGTGGGTGTTTTGTGAGTGGTAGAGGGATGCCGTGAGCTGGGATGACGTACCTTTTTTTGGATGAGGCATGGCAAGGAGGTGATCTGTGAGTGGTAGAGGGATGCTGTGACCTGGGACAACTTACCTTTTTTTTGGATAAGGCACGGTGAGCGGGTGTTCTGTGAGTTGTAGAGGGATGCCGTGAAGCTGGGACAACATACCTTTTTTTTGGATGAGCATGGTGAGGGGGTGTTCTGTGAGTGGTAGAGGGATGCCGTGACCTGGGACGACTTACCTTTTGTTTTTTTGATAAGGCATGGCAAGGGGGTGTTCTGTGAGTTGTAGAGGGACACCACGAAGTTGGGACGACATACCTTTTTTTTGGATAAGCATGGCAAGGGGGTGTTTTGTGAGTGGTA